ACAAGCAGTGAGATTGAAGTAGTAATTTAAACATTACCAACAAAGAAAAGTCCAGGACCAGACGGGTTCATGGCAGAATTCTATCAGACATTCAAGGAAGAATTTGTACCAATCCTTTTGACACTGTCCCACAAGATAAAGAAAGAACCCTCCGTAATTCATTCTATGAAGCTAGTGTCACCCTAATACCAAAACCAGGAAAAGACATAAACAAAAAAGAAAACTGCAGACCAATATCCTTGATGAACAAAGATGCTGAAATATTTAACAAAATACTTGCTAACTAAATCCAACAACATATCAAAAAAATAATCCACCATGATCAAGTGGGTTTAATACCAGGGATACAGGGATGGTTTAACAGATACAAGTCAATAGATCTGTTATACCACATAAACAGAATTAGAAACAAAAATCACATGATCATTTCAATAGCGGCAGAAAAAGAATTCAACAAAATTCAGCATCCCTTTATGATTAAAACTTTTAGCAAAATCGGCATACAAGGAACATAATGTAATAAAAGCCACCTATGACAAACCCACAGACAACATACTGAATGGGAAAAAGTTGAAAGCTTTCCCTCTGAGAACTGGAAGAAGACAAGTATGCCCACTCTCACCACTTCTCTTCAACATAGTACTGGAATTCCTAGCCAGTGCAATCACACAAGAGAAAGAAATAAAGGGCATCCAAATTGGTAAAGAGGAAGTCAAACTGTCACTGTTTGCTGAGAAAATGATAGTTTACCTTGTAAACCCTAAGGACTCCCCCAGAAAGCTCGTAGAACTGATAAAAGAATTCAGCAACATTTCTGGATACAACATTAATGAACACGAATCAGTAGCTCTTCCATACACTAACAGTGACCAAGAGGAGAATCAAATCAAGAACTCAACCCCCCCCCTTTTTTTTTTTACAATAGCTGCAAAACAAAAACAAAACAAAAAACACCTTAGGAGTATACCAAAGCAAAGAGTTGAAAGACTTCTACAAGGAAAACTACAAAATGCTGCTGAAAGAAATCACTGATAACACAAACAAGCGACACAAATATCCTGTGCTCATGGATGGGTAGAATCAATATTGTAAAAATGACCATGTTGCCAAAAGCAATCTACAAATTCAATTCAATGCAATCTCCATCAAAATACCACCATCATTCTTCACAGAATTAGAAAAAAAACAATTATAAAATTCATATGGAACCAAAAAAGAGCCTGCATAGCCAAAGCAAGATAAAGCAAAAAGAACAAATCTGGAGGCATCACACTACCTGATTTCAAACTATACTATAAGGCCATAGTCACCAAACAGCATAGTGCTGGTACAAAAATAGGCACCTAGACCAATGGAACAAAATAGAGAATCCAGAAATGAACCCAAATATTTACAGCCAACTGATCCTTGACAAAGCAGACAAAAACATAAAGTGGGGAAAGGACACCCTTTTCAACAAATGGTGCTGGGATAATTGGCTGCCCACATGTAGGAGAATGAAACTGGATCCTCATCTCTCACCTTAGACAAATATCAACTCAAGATGGATTAAGGACTTAAACATAAGACTTGAAACTATAAAAATTCTAGAAGATGGCATTGGAAAAACCCTTCTAGACATTGGCTTAGGCAAGGATTTCATGACTAAGAAACCAAAAGCAAATGCAATAAAAACAAAGATAAATAAGTGGGACCTAACTAAACCAAAGAGTTTTAGTACGACAAAAGAAACAGTCAGCAGAGTAAACAGACAACCCACAGTGTGGGAGAAAATCTTCACAATCTATACATCTGACAAAGGACCAATATCCAAAATCTACAACAAACTCAAACAAATCAGTAAGAAAAAAACAAATAATCCCAGTGGGCTAAGGACATGAAATAGACAATTCTCAAAAGAAGATATACAAACGGCCAAGAAATGTATGAAAACATGCTCAACATCACTAACGATCAGAGAAATGCAAATCAAAAGCACAAGGTGATACCACCTCACTCCTGCAAGAATAGGCAGAATCAAAACAAAACAAAACAAAACAAAAAACCGTAGATGCTGGGGTGGATGCAGTGAACAGAGAGCACTTCTACACTGCTGGAGGGAATGTAAACTACTACAGCTGCTATGGCAAACAGTGTAGAGATTCCTTAAATAAATAAAAGTAGAACTACCATTTGATCCACGAATCTCACTATGGGTACCTACCCAGAGGAAAAGAAGTCATTATTCACAAAAGTTACATGAACACCCATGTTTATAGCAGCACAATTCACTGTTCACAATTGCAAAATCATGGAACCAACCCAAATGCCTGTCAATCGAGAGGATAAAGAAAGTGTGTGTCTGTGTGTGTGTGTGTGTGTGCAAATGATGGACTACAACGGAACCATAAAAGGAATGAATTAACAGCACTTGCAGGGAAAAAGATGAGATTGGAGACTATTATTCTAAGTGAAGTAACTCAGGAATGGAAAACCAAACATCGTATGTTCTCAGTGATATGTGAGAGCTAAGCTATGAGGGCACAAAGGCATAAGTGTGATGCAATGGAGTTTGGGAAATTGGGGGCAAGAGTGGGAGGGGGCCAAGGGATAGAAGACTACAAATATGGTAGAGTGTATACTGCTTGGGTGATAGGTAAACAAAAATCTCACAAATCACCACTGAAGAACTTACTTATGTAACCAAATACCACCTGTACCCCAATAACTTATGAAAAAGTGAAATAAAATAAGTAAGCTATGAGAGGATAGTTGGTTGCCTCCCTTTGTGGCTTATTATTACTTTCATGTTTAATTCCACCTGTAAGTCTTCTTCTATTCTAATTAGAAAAAAGGTAGAAGACTTCAAATAAATCAGTGGATTGAAATATCAGGTCAAATATAATACAGTAGAAACACATTAGATATGCCAAATATTAACTCACACATTAAAATATTAACCTTGTTCAACAAACTATATATTCTGAGAAGACAGACCACATCTGTTTGGTTTATTACTGGATACCCAGCCTCTATCACAATGCCTGGGATATAATCTGTATTTACATATTAAGTAGCAATAATACATAATATATATGCTATGATATAATAGCTTAGTACAGATGTTAACCTTATCTCCTAATGCCAACATGATACATTCTTTTTTATGCTTTTTTAAGTTTAATTTTAAGAAATGAAATAAAATACTGATGCAATAGGATACAATGTGGTAACAAGAAATCCATGACATATATAAGTAAGGTCATGGGACTAACAGGTGAAAGGGCATGTTGTACAAAAATATGAAGGTACCAGCCGGGTGCAGTGGCTCATGCCTGTAATTCCAGCACTTTGGGAGGCCGAGGCGGGCGGATCACGAGATCAAGAGATCAAGATCATCCTGGCCAACACGGTGAAACCCCATCTCTACTAAAAATACAAACAAATTAGCTGGGCATGGTGGCACACGCCTGTGGTCCCAGCTACTTGGGAGGCTGAGGCAGAAGAATCGCTTGAACC